ACAAGCTGCAGTGGTATATGCTAATAATACAACTTAAGTGGCAAAGAGTAAAGAGGAGATGCAAGAAATCATTTAAATTTCACAAAGGTTCTTTAGATTCAATGACATTTAAATCAATAGTTTCAAGTCAAAGCTGTTGGTAATTAACTCAAATACAGGAGAAGATAAGAATTCTGTTCTGATAAACAATTTTCAACTACAAGTTGAAGAGAAGTATGTACTGACGAGAATGTTAGGAGTATGGTTAAGTATAGAAGCAAATGAAAATTTAGTTATCAAAAAGACAAGAAGAATTATACAGCAGTTTATGCATAGTATATGATTTAAGAAGTTAACTATCAGTTAGTTAATATACATTAATAATATATGTATAATACCAAAATTGACATATATGTTGTAAACTACAAAAGCATCTAAAGGGAAGCTAATGCACTTACATCAACCAATAATTAGATTAATCAAGAACAAAGTAGGATTGGCATCGACTACAGAAAACAGTACAATTATGCATTAAGGTCTAGAAAGATGTAAGATATTAAGTCAAGAGATATTTAATAATCAGTTGATATCATTGCAAAGAAAATTAAATGAGCTAAATCAAGTTGGTAAAATAACAAGAATATAAGTAAAACAAGGCTTTGCTCTGGCAGGATTAGTATTAGAGAATTTAAATTCAGAGTTGTTAAACAACTTATAGTATATTTGGAAGAATAATTTAGTATGTCTAGTTATAGTAAGGCAAAAAAAATAGGTATAACAGTAAGGAGAAAAGGTGATCTTTGGCAGATTTATAGTACAGGTAAAACTGTACATAGTGTGTTAGAAAAAAAAACATTCAGAATAGTATGTAGAAGGTTGATGGAGTATAGAATATTTTTTATACAACAGTTAGTTAATCAAGATGACAAGAGAATGATCATATGGAAAAAGTTTAGAGCATTATGAACAAGTACATAAAAGGGACAAAAAGCAAAGTAGTTCTCAGAAATTAAGCAGAAAATATTAAGTAATCAAGATGACAGAACAGTCCAGGCAGAATTTCAAACACAAAGTATGAACATTATGGCAATGCAATCTATATGCAAAAAGTTAATACAAAATAGAAGAAGACATGAATGGGTACTAGTAAATAAGGAGAATATGAACTTAATGATAGGCAAAGTAATTAAAAAAAGAAGAAAGATGTACTTGTAAGTTACTAGAGCATATTCAAAACTGAAGATCAAAATTATTCAGTACTAGTTGAATGTGAAAAGTACAACTTGAATAATAAAAAGAATACAAGTAACTGCCAGCATTGGGTCAAAAAAAAAGAAATAGCAGGTGTGCTGTCAGGAATTAGACAAGAAAACAATCAAAAGATTCTAGTTCTATTAAAAGAATTAAATAAATATAAAGAGAGTCATACAGAGAATAGAAGTAATAGTAAAGAAAAAGTCATAAATAAGAAAATAAAAGTATACATGCATGAGACTAGTCTGTTAAAGATGCAAGATTTTGATAATAACCTAGAAACATTGTTATTAAAGCAATTGGAGAAAATATGAAAGTAGATTGTACAGATTACAGTTTTTATACAGACAAGTTACTAGTAAAAGAAAAAGATGAGTACAGAATAGGTGCAAGTTGGGTTCAGGTTAGCAAAAATGAGAGCAGACTATTAATGAAAGGGAAAATTAGAATAGCAAAATGGCCATCATCGACAAAGGCAAAGTTAGCAGCAGTGTAGATGATGGTATTAGTTGTAGTATATAATAGTAAGATAGTTATTAAATTAGATAGTGTAGCAGCAATTGCAAGTCTGGAAAGTAAGGAACCACTATATAATATTAGAGTGTGGAGTAAAAGTAAAAACTTTAGATTAGTTACAAAGATTAAAGACATGTGCAAATCGAAAAACATTAAGCTATCATTAGTTAAAGTCAAAGCACATAGTAGAATATTATGAAACAAAAGAGCAGATAAGCTTGCGAAAGAAGATGCATGGCAGATTAAAATTACAGATTTGAAGCTTGAGAAAAGCTTAAGATTTCTATATGCATTATTTTGAAAAGAAACAGTAGTAGAGATACTGACAAAAAAATTTGTCAAGACATTAACGAACATGATGAATGGTGCTAAGTGGCATTGCTCAAGTGCAACAAAAGAACTAGAACCAGATGCAGAAGCATAATGTGATTGGAGATAGTTGTGAAAAGAAAATAGAAATTTAATGAGAAACAAGTGTAAATCATTAGAGGAGAGCAAGAGAATCTCATTTAGAATTAAGTGTATTACTGATAGTTTGCCAGTGCTTAAAGTGTTAAAAAAGAGAGCACCAGACTTGTATAGTTCAAACTTATATAAAGAGTATAAAACAGAGAAAGAATCATCAAGACATTTGTTTATTTGTGAGGAATATAAGAACTATTGAAATAATATTGAAGAGTTAGCATGTTGATTAGTATAGAAAAAGTTTGACAAGTTAAACAAGTGCAAGCTTATAAGACATGACTTGAAAAGAATATTAGTGAGTGAAACAGAAATAGATAGAATTAAACATAGGGAGGCATGGATATATGGGTTAGCAGTTGAGAGTATGTTTAAGGAGTTGTATGCTAAACAGGTTTCATATAAAGCTGTGAAGCAGAGTATCAGATTATATATTAAGATTGTAGAAGAGATGTTCAAAAAAGAAATTTGGTAGTGAAGATGTAGAACAGTAGTTGAATAGGAGGAAGAAAATAGAATAACAACAAAATTAAAATGAAGAAGAAACAAGATGATTGAAAATAGTAAATGCAGTATAAAGAAAGTAAAAAGTAAGAAAACATCAGTGAATAAGATCAAAGAGGAGAAATACAAAAAAAGGGAGATGGAACAGAAGCAGTTGTTTATGAAAGGTGTAAATAAAATAATACAGAATAGAAATAGTCTATTCTGGTTCAGTTCTTGACAGAGCTGACAAAGTTTTCCAACTTAGAAATAGGTTGGTGTGACAAGTTGCATTTAAGTGCAGTCTCTGTACTTGAATAATGCCAGGCTTGCAATTGCAAAGGTGGATTACTAGAAATAGATAATATTTCAATTAGTAAAATTTTGTATTAAAGTTCTGACAAGGCTGTCAAAGAATAAAAAAAAAAAAAAAAAAAAAATTATAATCTTTAATATAAACTAAAAAGTTGTATTAAAAACTATATATTTAAAATTAAATTTTAAAAAGTTTATTATAGATAAACTAAAAAATTTTTTTATTAAAAAGTTTTTTTAAAATTGTATATTTTGGTCTATAAGAAACCTAATTTTTTTTTCTTATAATTTAAAAATAAATACTGCAAAAAAGTAATCCTTATTTTTAAATATTATTATACCAAATTTATTTATATATTTTAATAATTTAAAAAAGTAAATCAAAGCTAAAAAATGTAAAAACATAGGCAAATTTGCCTATGTTAGCCTACAATCTAAGGAATAAAATTTTCTTTAAAAAAGTTATATTTAAGATACTAAACTTTTATTTAAAAATACTTCAAATTATTTTTAGCTATTTCTGAATTATATTATGTTTTAAACACATACTTATGTGTGTTTTTTTATTGTCTAAGCAATTTTGTACTACACTTAAAGTATGTTTAGTAACTAAGAATGCCTTTTTGCTTGGCATACTGGTTGCTTGTGCAATAAAATAATTATGAGTCATGTTAATAAGAAAAAACTATTAGGAGTTTAAAGATCTTAATTTTCAATATGCAAGAATATCAATATTCTCATTAGGCATATTCAAATACTCATCTAATATATTACAATTGAACATATCATTATAGAACTGTTTTAGTTAGATTTAAAAGTAGTTATAAACAGAAATTAATTGATTAGTTTCTGGAATTTGTTTATTCATTTTTTTAACAAGAGAGTGGCATAATTTTAATATTTTTGCTAATGATCTGATGATATTATTTTTTTTTAAATTAGAACTAAAAGTGAAAAATTTAAATATTAGATTAAATAATACTGCTTCTGAAAAGCCAAACTGTAATTTTTTCTAATATTTATCAAGTTTTTCAAGAATTTTTTTGGCAATTTGTGATTTTACTGAATTTTTTTCATTTTTGGCTTTAGTTAAATTTATTATAATCACAAAAAAGACTATATGTATATCTCTAATAGTTGGATAGCTTAATGAGAAAAGTAGTTTAGTAGTTTTGTAAATGAGTTCTAGCAGTGTTATTACAGTATTAATATTAACACAATCTTGATCTGTCATATATAAACTTTTAAGTTGCAGCACCAAAACTATATTTGTCATTTCTTGAATTCTACATAACTTATTTAACATCAAATACAATAAATTTCACCTTATTTTACAATCAAAATTAGATACAAGAAACAGTTTGTTTTTTATTGCAAATTTTTTTTAATTCTTCTAAATGTAATTGGGAACAGTGAATTGTACTTACAAACTCTTAAGCCTTTTTTGTTGATTGATCAACTTCAGAAGGCCCATTTACAATAACAAAATTAAGTATATGCACAGCATACCTTAAGTAACAAAAAAAAGTATTTTCATAATGAAAGCTTAATATACTAATAAAATGTTAACTACAAACATCTATATTGCTAGCATTATTGGCAGTTATAGACAGAATTTTTTTTTCTAAACCAAAGTCTTCAATTAATTTAAAAAGTGTTTCTGTTAATAAGTAACCTGTATGTCTTTTATAGAATAAAATAAAATCCAAAAGTATATATTGCATTTGCTATTAGTTATTAATCCAATATAAAATAACTGATAGAAATGCTTGGTTAGTACATAATAACTATAAATCTGTAGTTATTGAAACTTTATAATTAAAATTTCTAAAGTAACTATGCAGTTGTTCTCATTTATGTTAATACAACAATCTGATGTAAGTTAAAATTGTTTGCCTTGTAGGTAATTTGTAATGAGGATTGAGTTCAAAAATAAAGGTTTGAAAGTCCTTATTCTTAACAACACAAAATGTTTGCTGATTATATATAATCTAATAAACAAGAAATTCAGTCAACTTTCTTACTTTATTATCATTATGAATACTGTAAGGTTCTACTTCCTGTTGATCAAATCAACATTTATAATATATTGCTTTGTAATTCATTTCAAAATAGCATTTAATAGTACTAATGCCAAAGCTTCTTTTATAAGTTTTATTTGAAGGCTTGCATAGTTTGCAGTAAATCTATTTGTTATCTGAAGAAACTTTAAAATAGGTTCAAAAAAGATATACATTTTTGCATTATTTAATGCTTTGTTCATCTGATTCTTCTGATCCTTCTAATCCTTCAGTATTTGCTTTATTGCTTTTAGTAATATTTAAAAAATTTATATCTAGAAAGAAAGACTTAGAGTTGTTGTTAAATAACATTATATTAATGAGATTTGTGAGAGTTTTAATTTTTTGTTAAGAATCATAAAAATACATAGTGTTACTCTTAATGCCTTTATATAAGTAAATATAAAAGTCAAAAAAAAAACTTGTGAACAAAACATCCTATATTTTTAATAAAAAAAAAACAATTATCAACAAAAATCAATTGTCAATAAGAGGGAAAAAAGATGTATTTGACTAAATGTACTTTGATTTAATGATTGTTTATTAGAGATTACAAGTATAAATTTTTTATTTTATTTGTTTGTTTTTTATTTTCTTTTGTTTCATTTAATTTTTTTTAATCACAAATAAAAGAACAATTATTAGATAAGAAATTTGATCTAGTAATATTATGATTTAATGTAATTATGTCTCAGTTTAGTGCATACAATTACTAATAAAAAAAATAATGTTGAAGAAAGGCAAATTTTTATAAAAAAATAAATGCTAGATATTTATTTTTTGCATTATAATAATCATTATCATATTATTATATTAGTACTTAGTTATTATTTTAGTATTAGGCTTATTTTAAAGTTATCAATCCATATTTGCAGATTTTTGAGTTCTTATTTATCTTTTTATAGACTAATTCCTATTGTTATTATTAGACTAACAAATTTAAATCTAATGTAATAATCTCACTATCTTATTTAAATGATCATTGATTAAAGAACTAAAAAAAAACAAATAAAGACAATGTATAAAAAATTACTATATTAATTAATAATTATTTAATAAAATATTATTAATTACCCAATTAAGTTAGATTCATTAGAGGTGTGGCAACTTAGTAAAGTGAATAAGTTGTCAACCCTCCAAGTAGTAGATAGTAAGTTTAAAATCTATCAATAGTAAAAATTTGAATAATCACCTATGTAATATATAAATAATATTATGATAATGGCATTTTCTTGATCAGTTAAGATAAGATATCTGTAATATAGTCATACCAGCATGATTGGCAGATCATGAAGCATCTGTGCAATGTTAGAGTTATACAAAAAAATGCAAACTGGCATCAAATAGTGCAAATCAAAATAAGTTTCTAAGGCTATATAAACCTATGAACTAGGAAGCTAGAGCCTACTTGGGAAGACTTGAGTAAAGAGATAGTACAGATCTTTGACAGTATTACTGTAAAGGCTAGATCTAGGAAACAAATACCAATATGGAAGAAATTGGATAGACAAGAACCTTAAGTAAGGGGTACTACTAACCAGGCTGCCAGAAGTTTTAAACTAGAGAAAAAGAACAGACTCTAAGGTACCAAAAACAGGTCATAGTCCTTTTAGGCTATCTGGATTGGAAGTCTGAGATCAGAAACAAAGGTATACTATAAGTACTAGAGATATGCTATAAAGTTAATACTGGGGTCTGAGTGAACTCTGCAAGAGTGAGCTCTGTTAATAAGAATTAAATATAGATAGTTAGTTAGCAGAAGGGTACTCTTCAGCCTTACAGTTAGATGATATATTCTAAAATATGTAATGGCTTAACAGATATACAGAAAGAAAGGCCAAAGTTAGGTTAGATAGCACCTAATATAGGTGTACAGAAACTTGTACACTATCTGTTAGTATAATATAGAGATCAGAATATTTAAAATAAGTAATCTCCTAGTAGATTACAGGTATGACAGCTAGTGTAAAACCTGCTGTGTAAGCAAACTACTTAAATTAGACAACCAAAAGTTGTATAAGTGGCTAGTTATAAACTCATTTTGTACAAGTTATATAATTATATTAAAAATATAATAAAGGCAGTAGTTGCCAATAATCATAGCCTTAGTAAAAGCAAAAAAAAAAAAAGTTAGATTTATTAAATTTCAGTAATATTGATATAAAAGCATTAATTTTAATTAATGCATGCATTAACTAATAATGATGTAATAAAATATTTTTAATTATTCAATTAAGTTAGGCTTATTTAAATTTCAGTAATATAAAAATTTTGGTTTTGATTCATATTATATAAATTCTATTTAAGATGTTAAAAATGGCAATTTGTTCATATCATCTGATTATTTGAACTAGTTTTAGACTAGTTTTGGATAGTCTCTAAAAAGTCTAGTTCAGAACCAGTCCAAACTACATTCTTTGCAGACTACTTAACATCCCTATCTTCAATGTATCTAAAATTATCAATAAACTTAATAATAATCTTTTCTTCTAGCTATATTTATATATTTCTGTTAATTTTTTCTTATTTATTACTTATCTAATTTATATTATTTGCTTTAGCTACACTTTTATAACTCTGTTAATATTTTTTATCTATTTGTTTATTTAATTAATATTACTTCTCTTTTTAATTATACTTTATTTTCTATTTAATTTATCTTATTTTTGTTTTTTTTTTTTTATAATAATATAATTAACTTCTAATAGTATAAATACATCAGAAAAATTTTAAAAGTAATATATATCATTAGCAATCTCTAGATTACTAACAATATATAGCATCTTTTTCAAGTATCATTATTAGTAATTAATAATGATATATAACAAAATTTTGATAAATTTGCTTAAACTTTGAATTTAGTTTTCTTAATAACTAATAATTCAAATCAGTTAAAATTTTTATTGTAAATATTATATACATTTAACTATATTATACTAAAGTTTTAACTAATTTAAATTAATAGTTTTTAAGAAATCACTTATAAATGAAAATTGATTTTTTTTTAAAAAATTAACTATCATTTATAAATGATTTCTCAAGAACTATTAATCTAAATTAGTTAAAACTTTAGTACAATATAGTTAAATGTATATAATATTTACAATAAAAATTTCAACTGATTTGAATTACTAGTTATTAAAAGAACTAAATTCAAAGTTTAAGAAAATTTAACAAAATTTATACAATCGTTACTTATTAATAGTAATTATAATCATTTATAATTGTTATATATTAATAATCATTATATATTGCTAGTAATATATTGATATATAACAATTAATTAATATATATTGATTTAATGCTATATATTGATATATATCTGCTTAAAAATTTTGCTAATGTAGTTAGTAAAATCTATGAGTAGCTTACTAGAGTAATAAATACTATTTAGAAAATTTCAACTAATCTAATTGAGCCTTAGTTACTCTAGTAGGTTTAAGCTACAAATAAATATATCTGAGCTCTTATTCTTGTATGTAGTATTTTTATTACTTAGAGTTATAGTTTTATAGTTAGCAGTTTAATAGTTAGTTCTAATTGCAAATGTTAGTTTTAGTTATAGCATATATAGAACTTCTTTTTGTAACCAATAACTTTATATAGTTACTACTTAATAACTATAAATAAAAATAGATACAAGACTTTACCTTAATACCAAAAAAACAATAATAATAATAATAATAATTTATTATCTAAAGAATTAACCAAAAGTGTTTGATATAGTCATATTAATAAATTCAAAGATTATTCAGTACCAAATATTAATTCTAAAAAATTTTGATTTAGCTCTAGAGTATTATCTATTTATAATGATATATTAATTTGGTTATTAAAATTTTAAAGCTGATTTAAAGTGTCAGAAGAGACTACTAAAGTTTTGATTAAATATATTCATTAATTATTAGATAAGTTTGATAATAAAAATCTATTTGAAAATTTTTTAAGCTTAATGTATAAACTTTGATAATATTTTAAAATTAATAATTTTATAACATATTTTGTTTGTTTAAATTGTAACAAATTATATACTAAAAAGAAAATTGTTAATTTATAAAATAATAAAAGACAATTATTAATAAAAAATATAATCATGTAGAATTTCTAAATATAATTGAATCTAAACAGATAGTTACATGTAATTTGATATTAGTAATACAAAATTGGTATTTAAGAAATATTATTAATAAACTAATTTTGTTTTATCTTTTTGTAAGTATTAAAAGCAAACTTAAAAAAATATATATGTATTCTAATTTTAAACAATTTTGTTGAAAATAAACTTATTATATTGTTTCTAAAGGTATACTTTTTAATATTTATGATAGTCAAATTTGAAAAAATTTGCTGATAAGAAGTCAATTGGTAGCTAATTTTTTACAAAAGAATCAGAAGACACTTATTTTGACTTTATATTAAATTTGGACTAATTTTAGCTATTTAATAAAACTTAGTATACTACTAGTATATCTATATAGCTATTTTTAACTTGTTAAGAGAACTTTAATTTAAAGCTAAAAATATAATAATTTTTGGCATTTTACTAAATTCAAATAAAGTTCATCTATATCATATTAACTACTATTTGTACTAATTGTTAATGAACTATGCTGATTTTGAAATAGTGTTCAAATTTTAACTTTTAAGAACCTATTTAAAAAAATAATCCAAGTAATATTAATTTTATACTTATGTGATATACCTGTAACTTAAAAGCTTTGCAATTATACTTTACCATTAGTTGTCTGCTATAATTGTAAAAAAAAGGCACAATTTGAAGATAGATGTTAATATTTTAAAGGTATAAATAATATTAATATATGGTTTATCAAATATGACTTAGTTTAACATTAATAAGATGCTAAATAATAGCAAAAGTACTTTACTAAATTAGATAGAAAATAGTATAAAAAACTTACAGATGTTTAGTAGTCTGAGTTATTTTAATTGTTATATTTTAATCTAATTTAGTTTTTGACTATTAACCTAATGTATTACCTATTTTTAGATATTGCAAAATAAATTGTAAAATCATTATGGATTGATTAAGAAAAATTAAATATAGCCAATTAAAGCAAATCCAAAAAAAATTATCAGAAATCCATGTTCTATCTAATATTGACTAAATTCAAAGAAAGGTAGACTGTAATAAAAAATTTGCCAATTTTATAATTAATAAATAAAAAACATTTATCTTAATTTA